TATGTGCTGTAGCCAACTCCAACGTACAATAGAACAGTTGGCTACAGCACATATAGTATGTTACATGTATTGATCAAACAAGCGTTGGTACCGTTTCAATCCCCAGAGCTCTCATCTGGTCCGCTCTTTTCTCTGCTATGGACAGGAACTTTTTTGGGTCTGACAGGGCATCCACGATGGCTAGAGAGAAGACAGGAGATTCATCAATACACTGAACTGGACTGGAATGGACTGCTGGAACATCAATGTAATGTATTGTCATATTTGATGTACTTGAGGTTCTGTTGTTATTTAAAGTCTAAACACAGTCATTATACAGAAAGACAAGCAAAGATGACAACATTCTACTACAGTAGCAACATTCTATTGGACGAAACTAAGCATGTACAAATGTAGGATCTTAATTTGAGCCAGTTTCTCACAGCAGGAAAAGGATCCTGCAGCAACAGGAAATGTAGATAATAATTCATGGACAATTTTGTTGGGTTGATACATTTTTTGTACAGGAAAATAAAGTCTGAAATATCAAAGCGGAAATTACAAACTTCAAAAGACTTTAAACCTCAAATACACTACAAGTTGTACATTTCCTACATTGCAATTCTCCTGCAACAGGGTGATCAAATTAAGATCCTACATCTGTATACATTTGAGTAGATAATATGACAGCCTCCTGCAAAAGATGGAGAATGACGCTCTCATTATTTGAATTTGAAACATTCACACATCCCTTTAACACTGCTTATGGGTTATCATCATAATGATTGCCTGGACCAGGCTCCTTGGCTTGGCATGCCTGCGTCTGTCTGTAACTGGCTATTACACTAGCTCTGCTACCATCATCATTTGCTCTGTGTCATTACTTCTGATGTAGAATACACTGTAGGGCAGGACACCCTGAAGGGAGGGAAGGAAAGAAGGAGGGAGGGACACCCAGTTTGTTAACAGTCTCTCCTCATCCTCTTTAGAACCTGGCCGTGACCCCACTCTCCTGAGGGTGTCCCTGGGAAAGTGGGGTATAAACACATTTCCAATTCATACATGCGTATTAATACACACTTGTACATGTGTGAAATAGGACAAATATAGGCTAAGCACCCACAAAAAGTAATAAATATAATATATAATTAATATAATAATGAATTTCCCTCTTCTTCTTCCTCGCATCTCTCCTCTACCTCTCCTCTTTTCAAATTCTCCTCTATTCACCTCCTTCTCCCCTCCCCTCTTTTCAAATTCTCCTCTATCCAGTCACCCAAGTCATAGAGTGTTCTCTATGCTACCACACGGCAAGCGGTACCGGAGCGCCAAGTCTAGGACCAAAAGGCTCCTTAACGGCTTCTACCCCCAAGCCATAAGACTGCTGAACAATTAATCAAATGGCCACCCACACTATTTACATTGACCCCCCCCCGGACTATTTACATTGACCCCACCCCCAGTGGCCCCTCAGTGTTTTTACACTGCTGCTACCCGCTGTCTATTATCAATGCATAGTCACTTTACCCCTACCTACATGTAAAATTACCTCGACTAACCTGTACCCCCGCACATTGACTCGGTACCGGTACCCCCTGTATATAGCCTCATTATTGTTATTTTATTGTGTTACTTTTTATTATTTGTTACTTTAGTTTATTTGGTCAATATTTTCTTAACTCTTTCTTGCACTGCATTGTTGGTTAAGGGCTTGTAAGTAAACATTTCACGGTAAGGTCTACACCTTTTGTATTTGGCGCATGTGACAAATAAAGTTTGATTTGATTTGGATTCTCCTCTCTCCTCTTTTCAAATTGTCCTCTATTCATCTCTTTCTCCTCTCTCCTCTCTCCTCTTCTGTCCTCCCTCTCACCTCCTTCCCTCTCCCCAGAGCCTTCTGCATCCACTTCAGTATCTAATATGAATACATTGAATGGAGATATAAATTGGACTGTGTGTGTGTGTGTGTGTGTGTGTGAGAGAGCGCGTGTGTGAGTGAGAGAGAGAGAGTGTGTGTGAGAGAGAGAGAGCGTGTGTGTATGTGAGAGAGAGGGTGTGTGTGTGTGTGTGTGTGTGAGAGAGAGCGTGTGTGTGTGTGTGAGAGAGAGAGAGAGCGTGTGTGTGTGTGAGAGAGAGCGTGTGTGTGTGTGAGAGAGAGCGTGTGTGTGTGTGAGAGAGAGGGTGTGTGTGTGTGTGTGTGTGTGTGAGAGAGAGGGTGTGTGTGTGTGTGTGTGTGTGTGTGTGTGTGTGTGTGTGTGTGTGTGTGTGTGTGTGTGTGTGTGTGAGAGAGTGTGTGTAGTATGAAAGGGAAAGACAAAAGACCAGCTGAGAATGTTCCCAGCTCTTCACACACACACACACACACACACAGTATAGACTAATAAGGTCTCCATACTCAAGTGTTTATGACTGAATAATATAGAGTTGAATAGAGTTCAGTAGCACACATATATAGACCAATAGGGGTTCTCTCTCTCACACACACACACACGGCCTCTGCTGCCCCTACCCTACAATTCTGTAGAGAAAGTATATCTGTGTTTTAGCAAGGGAGCGAGTGTGTGTATGTCAGTGTGTCAGTGTATTCCCTTACCTCCGAAGCCTTCGGGTACGTAGGTCTTAAGTACTATGTTACAGAAGACGGTGGGTAAAGACAGAGGCTTGTTCCCTTCGTTGCGTAAAGAGATGTGTCTGTATCCTGCCTGTAGCCCCTCCAACGGTAGAATCCTCTGACCTATCAGCTTATTGTTGTCATCATACACAGCTAGACGCAGCACAGCCAGGTCTGGCAGAATCACCTGGGAGAGAGGGAGGGCGAGAAAGAGAGAGAGATAGAGAGGAGGGGGGGGGGGAGGAGGGAGGGGAAGGAGGGGGGAGGGAGGGAGAGAGTAAAAGACACAGAGAGAGAGAGAGGGAGTGAGATAGGAGAGAGAGAGAGAGGGAGTGAGTGAGATAGGAGAGAGAGAGAGAGAGAGAGAGGGAGTAAGATAGGAGAGAGAGAGAGAGAGAGAGAGAGGGAGTAAGATAGGAGAGAGAGAGAGAGAGAGAGAGAGGGAGTGAGATAGGAGAGAGAGTTAAGATTAATTTATTTTTCACTAGAATTAATCAGTGTATGTACGGTAGAACATGTTATGAGGACTGGATTTTCATTCAGCACTACATATAAGAGGAACACAAACACACACACACACACGAACGAACACACACAGGGAGATAAATAGCTGTGATGATAACAGCATATACCCAGCCGTGATGATAACAGCATATACCCAGCAGTGATGATAAAATCAATATACCCAGCAGTGATAACAGCATATACCCAGCAGTGATGATAAAATCAATATACCCAGCAGTGATAACAGCATATACCCAGCAGTGATGATAAAATCAATATACCCAGCAATGATGATAATAGTATATACCCAGCAGTAATGATAATAGTATATACCCAGCAGTGATGATAACAGACTGTAGCTAGGCTCTCTACTGTATCTGTTTAGAACAATAGCCCATAGACAAGCCATTACAGAACCATTAACTCATCAGCAAGCACACACACACACACACATCCAGGGAAAGGAGCTTTGTGTGTGTATATATGTGTGTGTGTGTGTGTGTGCGCACGTGCGATGGTAGTCGAGAAAGCTGTGTATACATGCATGTCTAAATGTGTGAATGTCTGTGTATAAGTGCTTGCAACTCTGCAAGTCTTTCGCCAGAACTGTGCCCTCCTGATGGCAGTGTGTGTGTCCAGCAGCAGTGTGTGAGATGGCTCTCCTGATGGCAGTGTGTGTGTCCAGCAGCACAGTGTGAGATGGCCCTCCTGATGGCAGTGTGTGTGTCCAGCAGCACTGTATGAGATGTCCCTCCTGATGGCAGTGTGTGTGTCCAGCAGCACTGTGTGAGATGGCCCTCCTGATGGTAGTGTGAGTGTCCAGCAGCACTGTGTGAGATGGCCCTCCTGATGGCAGTGTGAGTGTCCAGCAGCACTGTGTGAGATGGCCCTCCTGATGGCAGTGTGTGTGTCCAGCAGCACTGTGTGAGATGGCCCTCCTGATGGCAGTGTGTGTGTCCAGCAGCACTGTGTGAGATGGCCCTCCTGATGGCAGTGTGTGTGTCCAGCAGCACTGTGTGAGATGGCCCTCCTGATGGCAGTGTGTGTGTCCAGCAGCACTGTGTGAGATGGCCCTCCTGATGGCAGAGTGTGTGTCCAGCAGCACTGTGTGAGATGGCCCTCCTGATGGCAGTGTGTGTGTCCAGCAGCACTGTGTGAGATGGCCCTCCTGATGGCAGTGTGTGTGTCCAGCAGCAGTGTGTGAGATGGCCCTCCTGATGGCAGTGTGTGTGTCCAGCAGCACTGTGTGAGATGGCCCTCCTGATGGCAGAGTGTGTGTCCAGCAGCACTGTGTGAGATGGCCCTCCTGATGGCGGTGTGTGTGTCCAGCAGCACTGTGTGAGATGGCCCTCCTGATGGCAGTGTGTGTGTCCAGCAGCAGTGTGTGAGATGGCCCTCCTGATGGCAGTGTGTGTGTCCAGCAGCAGTGTGTGAGATGGCCCTCCTGATGGCAGTGTGTGTGTGTCCAGCAGCACTGTGTGAGATGGCCCTCCTGATGGCAGTGTGTGTGTCCAGCAGCACTGTGTGAGATGGCCCTCCTGGTGGCAGTGTGCGTGTCCAGCAGCACTGTGTGAGATGGCCCTCCTGATGGCAGTGTGTGTGTCCAGCAGCACTGTGTGAGATGGCCCTCCTGGTGGCAGTGTGCGTGTCCAGCAGCACTGTGTGAGATGGCCCTCCTGATGGCAGTGTGTGTGTCCAGCAGCACTGTGTGAGATGGCCCTCCTGATGGCAGTGTGTGTCTCTCATTTTCATCTCCTGTCTTCTTCTCTACTTTTAGCCATTTCTCCCGCTCTTCCATTCCTCTCCTCCTCCCCCCATCCCTCTCTTCTCCCATCCTCCCATCCCATCCCATCCCTCTCTCCTCTCCTCCTCCCCCCATCATATCCCTCCCTCTCTCCTTTCCTCCTCACCCATCCCTCTCTCCTCTCCTCCTCTGTACCTTCCTGAAGACGAAAGGTTCTTCGTTGTAGGCGGGGTTCAGGCCGTTGTTCATCACCATGCGCGTGCGGAACTCTTTGCGGATGGTATCCGTGGGCAACCCGTACATGTCCACCTCTACGTAGGTCCCAATCTTCTTATCAGACAGGAACTGACCAGAGAACACCTGAGAACATACACATCCAGTCAAACAACAATGAAATACAATATAATACAATCAAATACAACTTTCTTTGCACTTTTTTGTAATGGACAAATGATTGGACATCATTTTTTAAAACATGCTCACATCACTTACATGGATTTTTAGCTAGCGGTGGCTAAAGTTAGCTGAAGTTTGTAATGGCTGTTTAAAGAAAACTGAACCATAGATGACAGTTTCTCCTGGCCCATAGACTACTTTCAGGGTGAGGAACCATCTAACATGAAGTTGTAAAATAGTGAACTTCACACAAGTGAACTTCAGGTTTCCGATCTTCCCAGCACATGTATTGCTTTTCTCTCTTGGTTTCTTATTAATCCAGTGATTATGTGCAGATCCACTACAATAAGCCCCATCTACCTCCATATCCCTCTCTGTGCTGTGAACTTGGAACTCCTGACCTCGTACCTGTACACTGCAGGTAGCAGCAATAACCCCGTCCACAGGTGTCTCTGAGAAGGGGTCAAACATCCTGTCTGAGCGACGCATGAAGTCTGGCTTCAACAGATACCTGGGAAGAGAGAGGAGGGATGGTGGCCCAGCAGGGTTAAAACAAAAATTCAAACTCTTAAAGGGGCAATCTGCAGTTGCTACATCCATTTTTTGATGTATACATTCATGATATGCACCCATTGATTTTTGAAGAATATAACTTATAAATACCTCATGAGCTTAGTTCAACTGACGTACCCCATCAGAACCCAAAATATAAGCTTATTTTACTCCAATGTTTGTAAACAAAGTAAACGTAAACAAACACTATATAGCCTCAAAACGTGGTTAAAACTATCATTTTGATATCATGGATGGCCAGTCCTTGCATCCATAGCTCTGTCTGTGAATTTGAGAGTGGTTACATTTCTCCAGCCCCATCCCTCAGCTTTTTACCAAAACAGGGGCAGGGATGTTTTTGTTATTGTTTCAACTGCTGATTGCTGCTCTAAACACTTTCTGTAAAGTGCTAGTATAGTGTTTATAAATGTGTTATACAGTGTTTTCTGATCGTTTAACAACTACATCTAAATCGTGTTGTAGAGATGGTGCATTGCTATTTTCCATATCAAGATAAATGGATTGGTGGTTGTATCGATCAGTACAAAAAGGATAATTAGTGCTAGATCATTTATATTCCTGCTCACACTATTACAGTAAGTTAGCCTGAATCCTAATGATGATGACAATGATTGTGATTCTACCCTGCGTGTGTACCAGCTGAGTTAGGACGGGAGACGCATTAGGAGAGCCCTGTGTGTGTGTGTGTGTGTGTGTGTGTGTGTGTGTGTGTGTGTGTGTGTGTGTGTGTGTGTGTGTGTATGCGACATTAGTTAAGGGTGAAAGTCACATTAGAAAAAGTCACATTAGAAGAACATTAGGAGATAGGGGTGTTACTGTCATTACTGATCTCTTTGCATAGGAAATACAGTTGAAGTCGGAAGTTTACATACACCTTAGCCAAATACATTTCAACTCAGTTTTTCACAAATCCTAGTAAAAATTCCCTGTCTTAGGTCAGTTAGGATCATCACTTAATAATAATTTAGATAATTTTTTATTTCAGCTTTTATTTCTTTCATCACATTCCCAGTGGGTCTACCAATTAGTATTTGGTAGCATTGCCTTTAAATTGTTTAACTTGGGTCAAACGTTTTGGGTAGCCTTCCACAAGCTTCCACACAATAAGTTGGGTGAATTTTGGCCCATTCCTCCTGAGTCAGGTTTGTAGGCCTCCTTGCTCGCACACGCTTTTTCAGTTCTGCCCACACATTTTCTATAGGATTGAGGTCAGGGCTTTGTGATGGCCACTCCAATACCGTGACTTTGTTGTCCTTAAGCCATTTTGCCACAACTTTGGAAGTATGCTTGGGGTCATTGTCCATTTGGAAGACCCATTTGTGACCAAGCTTTAACTTCCTGACTGATGTCTTGAGATGTTGCTTCAATATATCCACATCATTTCCTTCCTCATGATGCAATCTATTTTGTGAAGTGCACCAGTCCCTCCTGCAGCAAAGCACCCCCACAGCATGATGCTGCCACCCCGTGCTTCACGGTTGGGATGGTGTTCTTCGGCTTGCAACAGCCCCCTTTTTCCTCCAAACATAAAGATGGTCATTAAGGCCAAACAGTTCTATTTTTGTTTCATAAGACCAGAGGACATTTCTCCAAAAAGTACGATCTTTGTCCCCATGTGCAGTTGTAAACCGTAGTCTGGCTTTTTTATGGCGGTTTTGGTGGTTTTGGCTTCTTCCTTGCTGAGCGGCCTTTCAGGTTATGTCGATATAGGACTCGTTTTACTGTGGATATAGATACTTTTGTACCTGTTTCCTCCAGCATCTTCATAAGGTCCTTTGCTGTTGTTCTGGGATTGATTTGCACTTTTCGCACCAAAGTATGTTCATCTCTAGGAGACAGAACGCGTCTCCTTCCTGAGCAGTATGACGGCTGCGTGGTCCCATGGTGTTTATACTTGCGTACTATTGTTTGAACGTGGTACAGATCAATGTGGTACCTTCAGGCGTTTGGAAATTTCTCCCAAGGATGAACCAGACTTGTGGAGGTCTACAACTTTTTTTCTGAGGTCTTGGCTGATTTCTTTTGATTTTCCCATGATGTCAAGCAAAGAGGCACTGAGTTTGAAGGTAGGCCTTGAAATACATCCACAGGTACACCTCCAATTGACTCAAATGATGTCAATTAGCCTATCAGAAGCTTCTAAAGCCATGACATCATTTTCTGGAATTTTCCAAGCTGTTTAAAGGCACAGTCAACTTAGTGTATGTAAACTTCTGACCCACTGGAATTGTGCTACAGTGAATTATAAGTGAAATAATCTGTCTGTAAACAATTGTTGGAAAAATTACTTGTGTCATGCACAAAGTAGATGTCCTAACCGAGTTGCCAAAACTATAGTTTGTTAACAAGAAATTTGTGGAGTGGTTGAAAAACAAGTTTTAATGACTCCAACCTAGTGTATGTAAACTTCTGACTTAAACTGTATCTGACTTTAGTAGTGAAATCCCAAGGTCAAAGGAAGAGAGATGGGGGGGGTAGAGAGAGAGCGCGCAAGAGAGTGAGAGAGCAAGAGAGGATAAGAGGAGGGGAGCAGGGAGCCCCATCAGTGAGATAGTGGCAGAGTGAGCCAGCCGGAAACCACTTATGAGATGTGAAACGCTTTAATTGATGAGCTTTCAGAGAGGAAGGGGGAGATAAAGGGATGGAAGGAGGGAGGGGGATGGAGAGAGGATAAAGGGATGAAGGAGGGTGGGGGATGGAGAGAGATAAAGGATGGAAGGAGGAGGGGGATGGAGAGAGGATAAAGGAGTGGAAGGAGGGTGGGGGATGGAGAGAGGATAAAGGGATGAAGGAGGGAGGGGGATGGAGAGAGGATAAAGCAGTGGAAGGAGGGAGGGGGATGGAGAGAGGATAAAGCAGTGGAAGGAGGGAGGGGGATGGAGAGAGGATAAAGCAGTGGAAGGAGGGAGGGGGATGGAGAGAGGATATAGCATTGGAAGGAGGGAGGGGGATGGAGAGGGATAAAGGATGAAGGAGGGAGGGGGATGGAGAGAGGATAAAGCAGTGGAAGGAGGGAGGGGGATGGAGAGAGGATAAAGCAGTGGAAGGAGGGAGGGGGATGGAGAGAGGATAAAGGGATGAAGGAGGGTGGGGGATGGAGAGAGGATAAAGGAGTGGAAGGAGGGAGGGGGATGGAGAGAGGATAAAGGGATGAAGGAGGGAGGGGGATGGAGAGAGGATAAAGGAGTGGAAGGAGGGGGGGGGATGGAGAGAGGATAAAGGGATGAAGGAGGGAGGGGGATGGAGAGAGGATAAAGGGATGAAGGAGGGTGGGGGGATGGAGAGAGGATAAAGGAGTGAAAGGAGGGAGGGAGGGGATGGAGAGAGGATAAAGGAGTGGAAGGAGGGAGGGGGATGGAGAGAGGATAAAGGAGTGGAAGGAGGGAGGAGGATGGAGAGGGATAAAGGGATGAAGGAGGGTGGGGGATGGAGAGAGGATAAAGGGATGGAAGGAGGGAGGGGGATGGAGAGAGGATTAAAGGGAGTGGAAGGAGGGTGGGGGATGGAGAGAGGATAAAGGGATGAAGGGAGGGGGAGGGGGAGGAGAGAGGATAAAGCAGTGGAAGGAGGAGGGGGGATGGAGAGAGGATAAAGATGGAAGGAGGGAGGGGGATGGAGAGAGGATTAAAGCAGTGGAAGAGGGGAGGGTGGATGGAGAGAGGATAAAGCATTGGAAGGAGGGAGGGGGATGGAGAGAGGTAAGGATGAAGGAGGGGGGGGGATGGAGGAGGATAAAGCAGTGGAAGGGGAGGGGGATGGACGAGGATAAAGCGTGAAGGAGGGAGGTGATGGAGGAGGATAAAGGCGATGAAGGAGGGTGGGGGATGGAAGAGGATAAAAGGTGAAGGGGAGGGGGTTGAGAGAGCGATAAGGGATGAAGGAGGGGGGGGATGGAGGAGGATAAAGGAGTGGAAGGAGGGGGGGGATGGAGAGGGATCAAAGGGAGAAGGAGGGGGGGGTGGAGAGGGTAAAGGGTGACGGGGGGGGGGATGGAGAGAGGATAAAGGCGTGGAAGGAGGGGGGGATGGAGAGAGGCTAAACGGGATGGAGAGGGAGGGGGATGGAGAGAGGATAAAGGAGTGGAAGGAAGGAGCAGCAGCACTTACCCACAGGATCCGTTGTACTCATACTTTCCCTGGTTCAGCTGCATGGCCAGATCTGCGACAAGAGAGAGAGTCTGTTTAGGTGTTATTACAATAGAAATCACAGACGCACAGTCACATGCAGACACACTCTTCTTGAAGCGTACACACACATTATGCTAACAGACAAAGACATACACAGATTACATTTTTCAGGTTGATTAAATTTATTTGTGACATGTTGATTTTTTCAACAACTCAACAGGCATATTCTGTAGTGTTGCTGTTGCTCAACCCAGAGGGAGAGAGAAGGGGGAATCTTCCACCTTACTGACATCTCTTCTTCCTCTCCTCTCCTCCCTCTCTCTCCCCCGGCCCTCACCCCCCTCCAGCCCTACACATGCCCACTCACAGGGAGCCATATGTTACAACCCCATCGCCCTCAGACATGGGGCAGCATCTGTTAACTACAGGGTTCACAGTGTGTGTGTGTGTGTGTGTGAGTGAGTGACAGATAAAGAGAGAGAGAGAGACAGGAAGAGATAAAGATCGTTACAACACTGTATATAGACATAATATGACATTTGAAATGTCTTTATTCTTTTGGAACTTTTATGAGTTTAATGTTTACTGTTCATTTTTGTATTGTTTATTTCACTTTTGTTTATTATCTATTTCACTTGTTTTGGCAATGTAAACATATGTTTCCCAATAAAGATAAAGACCCTTAAATTGAAATTGACAGGAAGAGAGAGAGAGCGAGAGAGAGAGCGAGAGAGAGAGAGAGAGAGAGAGAGAGAGAGAGAGAGGCCAGGAGAGAGAGAGAGAGAGATTCGAGAGAGAACTGAGGAGCGAGAGAGCGCGAGCGAGAGAGAGAAGGAGAGAGAGAGAGCTGAGAGAAGAGAGCGAGAGAGAGAGCGAGAGAGAGCGCGAGAGAGAGAGAGAGAGAGAGAGAGAGCGAGAGCCTGTCTGTAAGAGCATGTGTGTTGTAGGGGGTAATAATATGTAGTGTGTGAATCTATCCATGTATGTGTGTGTGTCGCATGTGAATATATCCATGTATGTGTGTGTCGCATGTGAATATATCCATGTATGTGTGTGTGTCGCATGTGAATATATCCATGTATGTGTGTGTGTCGCATGTGAATCTATCCATGTATGTGTGTGTGTCGCATGTGAATATATCCATGTATGTGTGTGTCGCATGTGAATATATCCATGTATGTGTGTGTGTCGCATGTGAATATATCCATGTATGTGTGTGTCGCATGTGAATATATCCATGTATGTGTGTGTGTCGCATGTGAATATATCCATGTATGTGTGTGTGTCGCATGTGAATATATCCATGTATGTGTGTGTGTCGCATGTGAATATATCCATGTATGTGTGTGTGTCGCATGTGAATATATCCATGTATGTGTGTGTGTCGCATGTGAATCTATCCATGTATGTGTGTGTGTCGCATGTGAATATATCCATGTATGTGTGTGTGTCGCATGTGAATATATCCATGTATGTGTGTGTGTCGCATGTGAATATATCCATGTATGTGTGTGTGTCGCATGTGAATATATCCATGTATGTGTGTGTGTCGCATGTGAATATATCCATGTATGTGTGTGTGTCGCATGTGAATATATCCATGTATGTGTGTGTGTCGCATGTGAATATATCCATGTATGTGTGTGTCGCATGTGAATATATCCATGTATGTGTGTGTGTCGCATGTGAATATATCCATGTATGTGTGTGTGTGTGTGTGTGTGTGTTCAATCTCTCAACCCTCAGACAGGAGAATTACAGAGAAACAGTGGAATAGGGTTATGTGAGGGGTGTGTGTGTCACATGTGAATCTAGGTATGAGTCTGTATGTGCAGTAGGGTTAACATGCTCCAGTACAGTACCTGGGGTCTGGTAGTTAAGGGAGACCATCTGGCAGCCTGCGTTCCAGAAGATCTGAGGCATGTAATTACTGGAATCCACCCTGCCTCCTTTAGGATAGATCCGACTCATCTGACGCTTGTTGTAGCTGGACGCAAACACTCAGGACTTAACACAGGGACAGAGGGAGGGAAAGAGTGTGTGTGTGTGTGTGTGTGTGTGTGTGTCTGGTGTATGCATCTATGATGTTTGTTCAGTAGGACTACATGGTACAGCACCTGAGGTCTGGAAGTTGAAACAGTGGTGTGTTTCTGTGTGTGTGTGTTCAAGTGTGTGTGTAGCGAGTCGAACGGGCCGCAGACCTATTTTTAGAAGGGAACAGCTTGTGTCCTGCATTCCCACTGGAATGTGTGTGTGTGTTCTCCATTCCAAAGGCACATCGGTCTCTCCCAGAGGAGCTAAGGCAGTTTTCCACAGATGGAGACTGTAAACAAACAACGTCTAGTATACAGCAGTCTAGCCTCATATCATGGCCTCAAACTGCAAAGTTACAACTGTTGCAACATGGAAAGTTCTTGTCCAGGGGGTGTCCTTTTTATCCACGCCAAACTTGGTGCAAAACCGCGCCTACGAGAAACCTAGCAACATTCAACGCCGCGCTGATTGGGAAGAGTTCAATTGTTCCCTTGTGAGAAGTAAAGACGTCCGAGAGAAGGAAGAACACAAGAGACAGAATCCCCAACAAAACATTGGCAACAATACCTTGCATTTTCCCAAATTTGGATATGAAGTTCCATTTAACTATGTAGCTTTTTAGTGAGTGATTGCAGCCAGCCTGACTGGCCAGATGAATAGTATCGACTTCATGGATAGTTGCATTGTTTGTGGAGGTAAGTAATCTGTGAATTATATCAAGTGTTATTGCTATCTTACAACACCGATTGGGCTGCTGTCTAGTAGTGTGTGTTGTCTAGTGTTAGCTTAGTGTGGTTATCTAAGTGTTTACGAAAGGACAATTGAGATACTTAGTTACATGATATTTGTGGTAGTTGGCAACTAAGATGCTGCATAGCTAGCTCTAGCTGAATGGGCAAAGCTAGCTCCATTGATTCACTATTACTAACAATCATGTAATGTTAGCTATTTACAGAGTCACTTGTTGCTTCCCTTTCATTGAGCTAATTTAAAACGAGGCCGCGCAACTACGCATCTCCCACGGTTTGTGGCATGGCAGGCACGAGGAAACTCAGAGGGGATTCCCTCTACAGCGTTCGTCCTTTCTCACAAGCATTTACTTCATCACAGGGAACATCCGAACTCCGACCAATCAGCTCGGCTATGAATGTTGCTTGGTTACCTGTGGGCGTGGTTTTGCACCAAGTTTGGCGTGGATAAAAAGGACGCGTCCAAGGGACCCACTTTGGATACTGTTTTTTTTGTCTAGAAAATCTAGGGAGTCAGTCACTTTTCATGCTGTAATTCATTAAGATGAATAGTAGCATGAAGGACTATGGACTCATCTTGACTACTTCACAGGTCAGGAAATATTGGATAAATGTAGTTTTGGGGTGAATGTGTCTTTATTTTGTCTATATTGTCTATGTGCATTTACATGCTGTGTGAGTGTTGACACTGGACCAAAGGATACTTGACAAACTCGATGGCGTTGGTTTTCAGATAACCCAGACCCACTGACTCGTTAAATGACGACATGTTGTGGTGGATGTTCCTCTCTGGAGGGAGAAGAGACAGTAGAGTTAAAATGAGCGAGAGAGCGAGAGGAAGAGAGGAAGAGAGAGAGAGAGAGAGAGAGAGAGAGAGGAAGAGAGGAAGAGAGAGAGAGAGAGAGAGAGGAAGAGAGAGAGAGAGAGAGAGAGAGAGAGCTCATCTGATTAATGTATTTGACACATCTAGAAGTGTACCACACAACCCACAACTCTGATGTTGCACCATGAAAGCTCAAGTAACTAAAACCATCTGAACCAGCTTCATTTTACAGTACAAGTTCTAGAAGTTTAACAATCGCCGTAACTAGACAATCACTAAACCAGTTCATTAATCTTAACTGAAATTGAAGGTTACCTTCTGCGACATCAAAGCTCTGGAACTTGACAGGCTGTGCGTAGTTGACCATGGCAGAGAGGTAGGGGTGGATGTTGGTGGTGGCTCCTACGTACGTGTACGAGGCTATGAGAGCCTCCTCGTCATCCGTCGTCTCTCCAGTCTACACAGGAGCAGAAAACACACTGTCGTTTTACACTCACACATCTCCGTTGTATTCCAGTCTCCACACTGTACACACATAACCCTCCAGTCTGAGAGCACATAAAGTAGTTCTAAAGCACATCAAGTTAGTTAGGAACACTCTCATTATAAATATATAAATGACCAGAGAAAGAGCTTTACACTGGCTAGAGCTTAGAGAAAAGGCTTCACACTCAACAGTAGAGAGAGAAAATGCTTCACACTCAACAGTAGAGAGAGAAAAGGCTTCACACTCAACAGTAGGGAGAGAAAAGGCTTCACACTCAACAGTAGAGAGAGAAAAGGCTTCACACTCAACAGTAGAGAGAGAAAAGGCTTCACTCAACAGTAGAGAGAGAAAAGGCTTCACACTCAACAGTAGAGAGAGAAAAGGCTTCACACTCAACAGTAGGGAGAGAAAAGGCTAGTTTGTGACCAGTAAAGAGAGGAAGAGCAGCTGAACCAACTCCCATACCTTCTTGATGTTGTTTTCCTCAGAAGCCTCTGAGATGTCTGTGGCATCTGTTGCTTCTGTGGCCTCAGACATCTCTGTTGGATCCTCCTCCACAACCTGAACACACAACAATAGTTCATTATAAACTGGGTCATTTTGGTCCTGGATGCTGATTGGCTGAAACAGCATTTCACCCGTGTACAGTGCATTCGGAAAGTATTCAGACCCCTTGACTTTTTCCACATTTTGTTACGTTACAGCCTTATTCTAAAATGGATTAAATTGTTGACTTGTCCCGAAGCCACTCCTGCGATTTCTTGGCTGTGTGCTGATTTCGTTGTCCTGTTGGAAGGTGAACCTTCGCCCCAGTCTGAGGTCCTGAGTGCTCTGGAGCGGGTTTTCATCAAGGATCTCTCTGTACTTTGCTCCGTTCATCTTTCCCCCGATCCTGACTAGTCTCCCAGTCCCTGACGCTGAAAAACATCCCCACAGCATGATGCTGCCACCACCATGCTTCACCGTAGGGATAGTGCCAGGTTTCCTCCAGACGTGACGCTTGGCATTCAGGCCAAAGAGTTAAATCTTCGTTTCATCAGACCAGAGAACCTTGTTTCTCATGGTCTGAGAGCCTTTAGGTGCCTTTTGGCAAACTCCAAGCAGGCTGTTGTGCCTTTTTACTGTGGAGTGGCTTCCGTCTGGCCACTCTACTATAAAGGCCTGATTGGTGGAGTGTTGCAGAGATGGTTGTCCTTCTGGAAGGTTCTCACATCTCCACAGAAAAACTCTGGAGCTCTGTCAGAGTGACCATCGGGTTCTTGGTCACCTCCCTGACCAAGGCCCTTCTCCCCTGATTGCAGGGTGGCCAGCTATAGGAAGAGTCTTTGTGGTTCCAAACTTATTCCATTTAAGAATGATGGAGGCCACTGTGTTCTTGGGGACCTTCAATGCTGCAGAAATGTTGGTACCCTTCCCCAGATCTGTTCCTCGACACAATAATGTCTCGGAGCTCTACGCACAATTCCTTCGACCTCATGGCTTGATTTTTGCTCTGACATGCACTGTCAAATGTGGGAGCTTATATAGACAGGTGTGTGCCTTTCCAAATCATGTCCAATAAATTGAATTTACCACAGGTGGACTCCAATCAACTTGTAGAAACATCTCAAGGATGATCAATGGAAACAGGATGCACCTGAGCTCAATTTCGAGGCTCATAGCAATGGGTCTGAATACTTATGTAAATGTTTAATATTTTGTATTATTATTAGCCAAAACATTTAAAATACCTGTTTTTGCTTTGTCATTATGGGATATTGTGTGTAGATTGATGAGGAAAAAAATGTATTTAATCAGTTTTCGAATAAGGCTGTAAAAAGTAAAGGGGTCTGAATTCTTTCCGAATGCACTGTAAGTTACCTTCCTGTAACAATTGCTTCTTTTCCGTTTGATAACTATATTATATCCTATAACGAAAGCTGGTTCAACAGCAATGCGTCTGGTATCTTCCTTATCCTGGCCATATATTAGCCAAGTAGCCTATCCATAAAAGGTTTCGAAATGGTCTACTCGTGAGGCTTTTTGCCGACATCCTTTTGCCTTATTCACAATTCACATAGGCCTACCTGCAGTGCATAGGCTACTCCGTTCGGCTTGTATCCATCCCCAAGAGCCTCTTGTCAGGTTACCAAAGACGCTCCTCCAAACGTATTAAAACGATTCAGTCCTATAATACAGTATCAACGGTAGGCCTGGGCTATATCCTGCTTATTGAGAACGTGCTTCACACATACAATTTAATTTATTGTAACCTAGTCATTTTGTATTTGAGGAGAAGTACGATGCGTAAAGCAGTGGAGGCTCCTCAGCCATCCTCCTCAGTGAATTGCATGAACATTTTACATTAAAAAAATTAAAAAAGTTATCCGTTTTTGATAAAACTATACTAAATATAATCACGTCACCAAATCATTGATTAAAACACACTGTTTTGCAAAGAAGGTCTACAGTAGCCTCGTCAGCACTCTGTAGGGTAGCACCATGGTGTAGCCGGAGGACAGCTAGCTTCCATCCTCCTCTGAGTACACTGACTTCAATACAAAACCTAGGAGGCTCATGGTTCTCACCCCCTTACATAGACTTACACAGTAATTATGACAACTTCCAGAAGATGTCCTCCAACCTATCAGAGCTCTTGCAGCATGAACTGACATGTTGTCCACCCAATCAAAGGATCAGAGAATGAATCTAGTACTGAAAGCATAAGCTACAGCTAGCTAGCACTGCAGTGCATAACATGTGGTGAGTAGTTGACTCAAAGAGAGAGAAAGAAAATAGTTGAACAGTTTAGAACAAATTAATTTCTTCCTAAATGAAGGAGAAGCAAGAGAGAAATAGAGAGAGAGAGAGAGATTGTCATTTTTTTTCCACTTTCAGTTTCACTTACTTAGCTAGAAAATGCAGCTAGCTAGTTTAGCCTACTGAAACACCCTGCTCGAACAGAGGGATGCTATGTTAGGTAGCTGGCTATGACTATCAAACAACACTGGAACTCTTCCAAGTCAAGGTAAGCTTTTGGTTTTACTAATTTATTGCCACCGGGGCCCGCCTGTATAACTGCTTACTGATAATGTTACTGCATGATTGTAGCGGGTTTACTAACGCATTAGTTCTCTTAGCTATGCTGACTGACGTTACTTTAGCTAATATCGTGACAATGATGTAGGCTGTGTGTAGCGGTTTGGCTTGGAAAGGTTTTTTCGCCTGGTCACATACAGTGAGGTAAAAAAGTATTTGATCCCCTGCTGATTTTGTACGTTTGCCCACTGACAAAGACATGATCAGTCTATAATTTTAATGGTAGGTTTATTTGAACAGTGAGAGACAGAATAACAACAAAAAAATCCAGAAAAACACATGTCAAAAATGTTATTAATTGATTTGCATGTTAATGAGGGAAATAAGTATTTGACCCCTCTGCAAAACATGACTTAGTACTTGGTGGCAAAACCCTTGTTGGCAATCACAGAGGTCAGACGTTTCTTGTAGTTGGCCACCATGTTTGCACACATCTCAGGAGGGATTTTGTCCCACTCCTCTTTGCAGATCTTTTCCAAGTCATTAAGGTTTTCGAGGCTGACGTTTGTCAACTCGAACCTTCAGCTCCCTCCACAGATTTTCTATGGGATTAAGGTCTGGAGACTGGCTAGGCCACTCCAGGACCTTAATGTGCTTCTTCTTGAGCCACTCCTTTGTTGCCTTGGCCGTGTGTTTTGGGTCATTGTCATGCTGGAATACCCATCCACGACCCATTTTCAATGCCCTGGCTGCGGGAAGGAGGTTCTCACCCAAGATTTGACGGTACATGGCCCTGTCCATCGTCCCTTTGATGCGGTGAAGTTGTCCTGTCCCCTTAGCAGAAAAACACCCCCAAAGCATAATGTTTCCACCTCCATGTTTGACGGTGGGGATGGTGTTCTTGGGGTCATAGGCAGCATTCCTCCTCCTCCAAACACGGCGAGTTGAGTTGATGCCAAAGAGCTCCATTTTGGTCTCATCTGACCACAACACTTTCACCCAGTTCTCCTCTGAATCATTCAGATGTTCATTGGCAAACTTCAGACGGGCATGTATTTGTGCTTTCTTGAGCAGGGGGACCTTGCGGGCGCTGCAGGATTTCAGTCCTTCACGGCGTAGTGTGTTACCAATTGTTTTCTTGGTGACTATGGTCCCAGCTGCCTTGAGATCATTGACAAGATCCTCCTGTGTAGTTCTGGGCTGATTCCTCACCGTTCTCATGATCATTGCAACTCCACGAGGTGAGATCTTGCATGGTGCCCCAGGCCGAGGGAGATTGACAGTTCTTTTGTGTTTCTTCCATTTGCGAATAATCGCACCAACTGTTGTCACCTTCTCACCAAGCTGCTTGGCGATGGTCTTGTAGCCCCGACATCCTTGGAGAGCTCTTTGGTCTTGTCCATGGTGGAGAGTTTGGAATCTGATTGATTGATTGCTTCTGTGGACAGGTGTCTTTTATACAGGTAACAAACTGAGATTAGGAGCACTCCCTTTAAGAGTGTGCTCCTAATCTCAGCTCGTTACCTGTATAAAAGACACCTGGGAGCCAGAAATCTTTCTGATTGAGAGGGGGTCAAATACTTATTTCCCTCATTAAAATGCAAATCAATCTATAACATTTTTGACATGCGTTTTTCTGGATTTTTTTGTTGTTATTCTGTCTCTCACTATTCAAATAAACCTACCATTAAAATTATAGACTGATCATTTCTTTGTCAGTGGGCAAACTAACAAAATCAGCAGGGGGTCAAATAATATTTTCCCTCACTGTACAACTGATGTGTTATGCATTGAAGTCCACAAGCAAAGGGAAGAGGTGAAAGGAGGAGAGCGCATAATGTTGATGCGAGAAGCAATACAACGTGGCTGCTATGAAACGGTGAACTGGGTTTACGCGTGATCAGGGGTGTATTCATTCTGCCGATTATGTTGAAAAACGTTTCTTAAACAGAAGCAAATGGAACAAAACTGGGATAAACATACCTGAATTTGTCCAATAGAAACTCTTGTTTGCAACTGTTGGACTAATGATTACACCCACTATGAGCTAGATGCAGGCAAGAGTGTGCAAGGCGGTATTGAATGTCACTGTCTGTCACATCAAATTTGTCTCTCAACCTGTGTGCACCTACGTTGTAAACTTTCATTCATAGGCTAGGTTGTAGCAACCTCATGATGGGTATAGGGACAATTTGAATATCATGTAGTAGCCTAAACCTATCGCTGTTACATTGAACTGGGTGAATGGAATATGAATGAGAGTCATCCAATATGCTGTAATAGAAATAAGGCTATGCTCATGAAAAAAAAAAAATCCTCCCTCATCTGAAACGGTAATGACCGCCACTGGCGTAAAGGCCTATACTCATTGAAGCCAATCACAACAATGTTGACTGTGAACACTGCAAACATATAGAGCAAACACGGGATATATATATTTTTTACTCGTTACTGTAGCATATGCTATTTAATAAACTGTAGTATCAATCCACAATGGACTAGGACAGAATATTCCGTGCCCCCGGCCGAACTGGAGTCAATGACAACGCAAAGACCGTCAATAACCTACAGAACTTGAGACAAACGCATGCAGTATTAAGCCATGGAACGCCTTGATTGGCCAGTGAGTGGCCAAGCCTTCGTCACACCTACAACTTGTTTATTCATTAAAACCCAGCCCTTTCACGCCACCGCCAGCTACTGTGCTCATAATAACGGCTGTGAAAATCGCAAAAATATTTCTGACACACTCCTGGACCTATAGCGCTACCACCAGCACTTGTATCTACCATTGCGTTAGGTTTGTTCAAATAAAGCCCTAAGTCTTAGCTCAAAACACAAATTCCATTTACAAAATGTATACCTTTTTGATGCTGTTGTCTCTCTCCTTCTCCTCTCCTTCTTTCTTCACACTGACACTGGTGCTGAGGCTGTTGTCTTCACTAGGCTCCTCTGATGTACTGATCTTCAAGTCAGGGTTCAACTCCTTCACATCACCTAGAGATAGAGATACAGGAACACACACGGTTACCCTCCAACACACACGGTTACCCTCCAACACACACGGTTACCCTCCACAACACACAGTTACCCTCCAACACACACGTTACCCTCCAACACACACGGTTTACCCTCCAACACACAACACGGTTACCCTCCAACACACACGGTTGCCCTCCAACACACACGGTTACCCTCCAACACACACGGTTACCCTCCAACACACACGGTTACCCTCCAACACACACGGTTACCCTCCAACACACACGGTTACCCTCCAACACACACGGTTGCCCTCCAACACACACGGTTGCCCTCCAACACACACGGTTACCCTCCAACACACACGGTTACCCTCCAACACACACGGTTACCCTCCAACACACACGGTTACCCTCCAACACACACGGTTACCCTCCAACACACACGGTTACCCTCCAACACACACGGTTACCCTCCAACACACACACACACACACAGCCACAAAGACACACACATCCTCTAGTGAACCGATACAAAGTGACTGAATATCTCAGTCTCCAAAGTCACTACACACCAGAACAAGAAGGAAAAGAAGAACCCTTGTGTACACACACATAAACACGTGTGCATCTGCACACACACACACTCACACACACACACGCTCACCATTCTCCACATCTTCCTCTGTCTCTGCTCCCAGTAAGATGGCTGGTGTGTTGGTCTCTCCAGCCTCCATGTGCTTCTTAAAGGACTCTAGCTGCTCTGTAGAACACAACAACAACAACAACAACCCAAGTCAATCATAGTGTACGTCAATAAAACCACCATACAGAGTGACAGAGAACAGGTAAGTCCAGCAGTAGCAACATCTGTAAGAAACTACAGATATAAAACTATTCTTGCATAAAGTTGACTGCCACTGTATACGTACTCTGTTCCACCTCGGGTTTCAAGCGTTTGTTTTTGATGAGGATTTTGCGTTTGAGGTCAATGGGAGAAGGCAAGGGACGGCCCGCTTCCACCTGGCAACAACAACAAATGTTTAGTTTTTTACAAAATGGCAGAAGACATTTATGGTAAATGGTACATTTTTTGTAGCATGGAAACATTACATACATATTCTTTATTATGTTCAACCATCATCTGCTATCAGACACGATACAGATACAGACACTAAACAGGAGACAGACAGGTATAGTGTGGTAGAAGGTAGATGGCTCACAGGGTATCCCTCGAGAGGATGCCTCAGTAGGTAGTCTCCAAAGATCTCCTCACAGTACCGAGCCATCTTGTACTGCTGGGGTTTACTGAAGCACACAGGATCAAACATCAAGACACTTACATGTTAGTCATTTAGCAAACGCTCTTATCCAGGGCCACTTACAGTTAGTGCATTCCTCTTAAGATAGCTAGGTGAGACAACCACATATCACAGGCATTGAAAGAAAATGTTTTCCTCAAAATAGTTATCAGCAAAGTCAGTGCTTTAAAAGACAAGTGTGAGTGTTAGTCCATTTTTCCCCCTATTTCTTTGTCATTAAATTACAGTTCGTAATAGTTACACTGTTACATTTAAATCGATCGGACGTAAAGGAATAAATGATAACATTGTCATGTATAAAATAAAATAAAACACATTCTGGATCATTGTGAAATCCTTAGTGCTGAGTGATTAACCAAAATGTCTTATTTTTCCGTTCAATTACTTGAATCCCATTTTGTTCGTTTTTTTTCTGTGAACTCAATGAACACATTGCACAGTTTCTCTAGAAGAGTCAGAAGAATGTGCGATCGTGAGGGGATATAGAGAACAGCTGGTGCTTCGTGAGGTATCTCTACCCAAAAATACATGGTCTAAGTTATTGATAGTTGGTACTCAGCAGTCATAAAAGTATACCTTATTTATTTAATAGTGATTTTGTCAGACAGCATAGGCAGCAGCTCTATACAGATGAGATGATGACTTGGAATGAAATAATAAAGTCTTCAAATAAAACAAACGTAATATACACAACAACTGAAATATCGCTAATAAGTGATAAGCAGTAATGGGACATCATAGGACATGTACTAATTGTTTTATTCTGTGTTGTTACAGCATACCAAATAATCGAACCAAAATCGAAACCGTTTTTTTTTTTAAAAAATCAACAAAAAAACCCACCTAAAAAAAACACTAATCACCCTTTTTACCCC